ATTACATTGGGTTGATATCTAAATACTAAATCAAGCAAAATTAGGTAGCGCATTACATTGGGTTGATATCTAAATTTGTGAAACACAACAACTGAAGACAAATAAAGAAAGGTTATTTGCATATATACCCTTAAGTCATGGGTATTTATAAAAATACCCTCTAAATCTTAGTATTTGCAAAATTATCCCTCAAATCATCAACTTTATGAAAGGAAAAAATAACCCTAAGCAAATCATGAACATGGTGCTAAAAATTTGACTATTTTGTTATAATTTTTACACTGATTATAAATTGGCTTATCAAAGTTGATAATTAATTACTTTTAGGGTAATTTTTTTCAAAATTTATGATTTAAGGGCTACTTTTATAAATATTGAGATTTAGAGGATATTTTGTAAATACCTATAATTTAAGGGGTATATATATGCAAATAACCCTAATGATGAAACCACTGGTAGTTGGATGTCCACCATTGTACAAGTTAATAGTGGACGTTATGAAGTTAATAGTGGAGTGTGAGTACACAATAAATTTGTCTGCAATCTATTGTGAGAGTAATGATTTTTTTTTAATAACAGTATAAGTCATCTAAGAGTGCATCCTCCTCTTCTTTCTTTAATTTCCCACTGTGCGGCTCAGATTTTGACAAACTTCTTCTCTACCTGCCAACAAATGTATTTCTATATGCCACTCTTTTCTTCTTCTCCACATGTGAAAGAATCAAAACTCTGAAAATTGTGGTGAGTGTTCATAGCTATATTTTTATATTCTGACATGTCTTGCAGATTTAATGTCTTTTTTATGGGCTGAAACTTAGAATTACGCAGCTAACATCATGTGAAAAGACCTAATTCTTACACCAAAACTCGAAAGTTACGGTGATAGTTGAGGGCTACATTTTTATATTCTAACGTTACGTACACATCCCCTCACCCACCCGACCCCCCCAATCACCTCACCCCCCCCCCCCCCCCCCTCACCGTAAAAAGCACCCCCCAAATTTGGGCATTGTCAGATCAACCCCTTAACTTTCAAATGTATCAAAAATCATCATTGTTTTAATTTTTCAGCAAAAAAAAATCCACCGCCTTCAAATTAATAGCATTACTCTTTCGCGTCTAACTTCAAGCGCCAATAAGTGTGGGCTTTCTGGATATAACTCCATTAACTTTCAAAATATTCAAACACCGCCCCCCCCCACCCCCACAACACAGTGGCGTAGCCAAGATTATTTTTTGCCCTGGCGAAAAATAAAGGGATTGTGTCGAGCAAGACAAAGTAGAGGAGGCCGATGTTGGCGATTGTGTCGAGCACCGTCAGGCTGCGTTTGGGGAACACATTGTTGAGAAACTAGCTTGTAATTTGATAGCAACCCTTATATTGTCACATTTTCAGTTTATACTCAAAAAATTTAGTTGTTTTAAGTTGCGTCTCATTGTCATATTCATCCAAATATGTGACAGTTCTATGTTAAAAGACAATCATAATTAGACAAATTATCTTTATATCTTTGATCCTTAGATTTTATCATAACAGTATAGATTGTGTGGATGAGTAGAATGAAGAGGAAGATATTTTACCACATATAAAAAATAAATTTTCATTTTCTTGCCCTGGGCACATGCCCAAGGCAAGCTCCATGTGGCTCCGCCACTGCCCACACACACACCCCCCAAAAAAACCCCTCTTTTCTTTGGAGTGTTGGCGAAAAAAAACCCACAAATAAATGCTCTTAGCGGTTTTTCCTGAAAAATTTTAAAGCTGAAGGGGGTTTTCCAAGAAACCAAATCTTAAAGGGGGTTTAGTGAAATTAACCCTAAAATGATGAATACTAACTAAACGCATCAACAGCTATCATTCATCGTACGGCACCGGGACCAAAATAGTTTAACCTGACAGTTGTTAACCAACCGCATTGTACTTAAGATGCCATAAGCACCCAAAAGCAACCAACCGTCATTAGTTAAATCCATTCGATTTCACTCCGAACCTAAAACACTTGGGTCCCAAACAAACACAAAAAAAAAACTCACCCAATAGTCTCGAACACTGACCTTATGCATATCATAATGAATAACCTTCTACGTTTTCATGAATATGATATCGTGGTGATGCACCTACTGCTTCAAAAGTAACTAATCCAATCATTAGAGGTTTGTCATACTAACAGATGTACTACTCACTTCCTGTATATATATATATATATACACACACTAGTGTGAACACCGTGCAAAACACGGCATATTTTTTTCCCGCCACAGAAATCCCGGTTTTTAACTGCTACAGGATTTTGATTTTTAAAAAATTGCTACAGTGTCCCGCCTTTGCTACAGTACCATTTTTTCAAAGACACTGCGTAGTTACTAAAGTAAATGTTACTGTAGTATTTACTGTGTAGAGGGGTA